GTCGTGTGACTGATTACGTTATGCAGTTTATTTTTAGTCCACACTTTTTTTGGTTTTCCATGTGCTTTCCGTGATTTCCCAGCGAATTCTGTTTATGTTTTTGGCGTTTGGTCGAAACACAGAACTCAATGCTTTGGTGTTCACTTACATTTTCCTCGTCGCTTACGGCCCATGCGGCTATTTGTCTTTGAATTTCTTCGGTGGCCATCGTCACGTCAATTACTGAACTCCCGTTTTGCGTTCTCGCACTTAAATGCCGTGCGTCTATTTATAATGCTTAGATTGTTTGCCTCCACCCGCTCCTCAGGCAGGTTCCCCTATCGTTGGTAACTGGTGATCTGAAAATCCTCTTGTTTGCATTGTGCCCTGTCATATAGCGCGTTTCCAGAAAGTCTTCAAATTCTTGGTTAGTTCTACTTGGTGGTATATGGCACGAATAACACGAACGACACTTACACCCAGACAAAACCAATTCTACGTCCAGATTCGTCATTCTAATATACGTATCACCTTTTTTTATCACAGTCATGCCACGAGTTCTTCTTTTATTAGGCTCTTGGTTTATGCCCCTTTCCTGCACGAATCGCTCTAGAGTCTAGAGCATCGTGTACAACATAGCAGAGATTTAGATACAGGTCACCTTACTATATCGGGATGTCTATAGACACTTCGGACCGTCCGCGCTTCCGGTGAGGTGGCCATGTTTCGATCGGGCTACTTCCTTTGTTTTGCAGAATCTTGGCATCACAAGCAAGTCTATTCCATCCCTTGGTTTGTCGGATTTGAACTGCGGAGTTATGTCCTTCATCTCCTCTTGCCTCGTACTCGTTTAGGATTTCATCAACACCTTCTCCTCGGACGCTTAGATTTCAATAGTGGGGAGAGGGGGGATCGCCGCACATACTTTCATAATTTGATCCCCTAGCAACACCGACATCCCCGTCTTTGTTCGCCATAATCACCAGTTTTACTAGTCATCTATTCTTCTAGACATGTTAGGCCCCATTACCTCTTATTTTTGTCAATTTTTATTGCCTTTTAAACCTTGCGCATTAAAGCGTTATTGCTTTCTTCTCCATTGAGGCGTTTTATTACCCCCGCCTCTCGAACGAGTCGGTTATGCTCGCTTTTGGTCTTTACACTCGGCCTTTCTTCGCCGGGCGAGTGCGTTTCTACCTGGGCTCTACTATTGGAAAATTAATGCACTTGTCTTCTTCGTCCACTTATTTTCATATTGACGCGAAATCTGCTCCGCGGCTTAAACCGATCCTGTCTTTCTTACGCTTCGAAGCGACTCCTTTCGCGGCTTAGGATTATTCTAGATACCCCCGCAAACTTACGGGTTTTGTCTTTAACGATTCGACGCGAATACTGTCGTGGATTGACGCGTATTTCCCTACGGCTTTTTCTGAATTGCGCATTTCTCTGCCAAGGCAACTCATTTTTTCTAGTCAATCAAATCCCTAAAAACCCAAATTGATGTATATAAATCTGGTCCGCGTTGAATGAATTCCCATCGAAAACAACCCGCTGCGTACCAGTTTTGGTAACCTCTCGATTTTCTGGCACCGCCAACTTTTGTGCGAATTTAACTCGTCGGGACTGTACTCGGGAACCATTCGCCTAAATAACACATTTAGGGAATTTTAAATCGAATGAAATTCGTTAACAGACTCCCGTTACGACTTACAGATACTTGATCCATTACGTTACCATCAATTCTTGGGTATAGTTACAAAAGTTTTTCTAGAACCGTTGCAAAGATGGCAGATTCTCCTTTTTGATACCGTTCTAGTTGGCGAATTCCTTCCACCACGTATAATGGAACACTAACGTTTATTTGCCCAGCATTTCCAGAAATGCTGATGCTGTACCTACCTCCTTTTAGTTAACAATTGTCTTAGCGGTTCCGGTTGGTAACTACGTCCTGTTAGTTATCTTGAGGTAATGCCGTCAAGTAAGCGCCAATGCGTTCATGATCTACTCAATTTTGCGGTTTTAACCATTTTTAGTTGAGGAGTAAAATTCTGTAGCAATAGGTGACCTATTTTAAATGCCAGGCGGCACTTTTCGTAATGAAAATAGGACCCTTATAAAATTCGTATCCATAATATGCTCTAAACTGCTATAGGTAATATTAAAATAACGTGCCCATCAGAAGAAACCCTCTGGTTCATATTGTGGTGGTTCTATATACAAGGGATAAAAAATGCGAATCTTATTCGAGATACATCAAATTCCAATCTGGGTATGTCCAAATGTTCAATTAACTCACTTCTTATTTTTAATAAACCGTAGAACGTTAATGTAACGTCAGTATAAAACTTACGTAGATATAAATTCATGCGATATACGGTATGTATGTATTTGCCACTAAATACGTAAATCTACAGGTAGGTAACCTTTCATGCGACAGGTGTTGATTACTTATCTTACTTATCGATGTAAGTAATTCACGATCAAAGCTATTATAATTTAAAATTGATCTGTACATATTTATAGGTTTCCAATTTGAATACACCGCCGCCGCCGTATTCAAATCGTTACGGTACGCATAAACAGAAAATAGAAATAAATTTCAAATTTTGAATAAGAATTCGTGTTTGATAAAGTTAAACTACAAAGAATCGAATTGATTGATGCAAATCGACGGGTGGGCCAGCTAATGCTCCAAACGCCGTAAGGTGCCCCCTTAGTTAGGTAGCCCTAACTGCAGGATATCACACTAACATACGCCATACTGAGACCTAAAAGGTAAGCTTTATTGAAAGAGAAAAAACCCACTTTTATACCTTTGTAATTTAATACTATGATGAGTATGCGACCAAAAAGAAACGAAATTTGGATAAACGAACGGAAACGCAAAGTAGGCAGCCCTTTAAAATTATTGTAAATAATGTTTAATAATAAATGTATTCAGTTCGGAAAGATGTTCAACCAACGCGATTGAGGACATGAATTATTAATACACATCACGAGATTTTGCTCGTCATTGTCTGTCTAAATGACAGTGTTTTGTTTAGGGTGCGGCGTGTTCTTGTAATTATGACTTGAAAATTTGGTGTTCTTCTTGTAGCTTCCATTTTATATACCCAAGAAATTATTATGAGTTTTTAAATGTCATACAGCGACCACTTTTTTAAAACACAGCACATTCTACAGTTCCAAAAGAACACATCGATTACCTACTTTTTTTTCCACAATATTCCACTTCTCGCACGGCTTTTCCACAGAACAAATTTGATGGCAAAATGTGATGTGTCCTTCCCAAGCGTTTTGAAACAGAAAGAAAGTTACTATTAGCTGTAATTCCTTTACACAGAGATTATAGGTCAAGATTTTGAGCAGTTTTCAATACAAAAAAATAATAATAAATGTCTTTATTAAATGTATTACAATACATTTAAAGGGCATGAAAATTAATTCAAAGAAAGCTTCGTTTAACAATTTGCTGTTCTTTCACTTAACCTACTGATGATATTAATTACTTTATAATGAAGTTTAATCCTCTATACGGACGGACAAGATACCTATTAGTGATGTAAAACAAAACAAAAATATCCAGTGAGATGACATGAAAAAACATAAAGGTATAAATGTAAAAGCTACTCCGTTAAAATACATTGTTTTAGCACTGCAATAAGAATCTTTTAGATGACTTATAAAAACAAAATGAATTTAAAGATTTGAAATTATCCGGAATATTGTTATATGTGAATGGCAAATTGAAAGTAAATGACTTCTCGAATTCTGCAGTTTTATGCTGTGGGGGTGAAACCTTTCCTTTATTCCGGACATTAATATTGTGAACATCTGTGCTGTAAGTAATCTTTTGATGTAAGTAATGAGGAATTTTGTTCATAATAATTGAAATGAAATTGAATTGTTGAATAATTTGTTGATAAAAATGTGTGTACATTGTAAGGAATAGCAATATATGTATATGATTGTGGAATATAATGCGACATGCTAATGTCTACTAGACAGTAATAAATAATCTTAATTATACAGGGTTGGTACACCAATATTGAATTTTTTAAATGAAACACCCTGTACATCATTCGATATTTCAATTATTCTCTCCATTTTAAGCAGCACATTAGAACGCGTCACTTGTCGGCCATCTTGGATTTTATTCGCGGGGTCAATCAAGGTAAATTAAATTGATTCGCGGGGGTTGCCCACGTGGGCGGGGGTGTTTTCGGGGAAATTTGATTAATTTCTTGGAATTAATTAAAATTTTGTGCGATTTTGGTCTTTATTGGCATATGATTTGATTGATAACGTTATCAATTAATTAAATTGGCGGTTTGATTAATTTAATTCGCGGTTGATTTCTTAGAATTTCGGTTTAATCAATTTGATTCGCTGCTTAATCAATTTAATTCGCGGCCCAATTAATTTAATTCGCGGTTTGATTGATTTAATTCGCGGCCCAATTAATTTAATTCGCTGATCGATTAATTTGCTGTACAAATAATTGCACATATGTGGTAATTACACATATGTAATAAACAATTACACATGTATAATTACACATACACACACATGTGTAATTACATTTTAATTACTCTAATTGAAAACAAAATGGCGGAAAAACAAAATGGCCACCGAAGGCGGGAAATTTAAAAAAATTAGGACTTTAAAAATATTTTGGGTTTGTGCACTATCGCTCTCTCTCTCTTACTCATTGTGCACCATCTCTCTCTCTCTCTCTCTAACTCATTGCGTATATCGTTCTCACTGTAGTATGCTGAAAATAGAAGCTAGAAATGAGCAAAACAAGTTTTAATTATATTTATTACATCACAGAAACAAATAAATAAACAAAATCAGTACAAAAAAAAAATGCAACAATAAACAATAATTATGATACAAACCCATTTCCACACCACCCTGGAGGTAAGGCTGAGGCGCGCTTTTTTTAACGTGGTGTCCCCTGTAGGCCTAATCCACGGAACGTATGTACAAACTAAAAACTAAATATGTACAAACTAAAGCTAATTTGTTCTATAGCCGTATGGTAGAGTGTCGTATCCTACGTCTAAACGGCGACGCTTCGTGTACTCGACACGGTACCTTTTCCTCTCCGGCTTGGAGATGACGTCGTACGTACACGTGCGAGCTATACGTCGATCTGTCTCTACGTAAGTCTCCGGGGCATTGTTCAACACAGCGTCTTTGATTGTTTCAAAGTTCACTACGCGGCTGTTCTTATAGTTTAGGGATATGCCCTTAACTTTGCACACAACACTATACGTGTTCGCACTGGACGAAAACACCTTGTATGCATAGTTTTTAGGGCCGCCACTAACGAATTCCACAATTTGGCTCCCGGGTCCATAACACTCGATTTCATCGGTCATATCTCCCAAGAAGCTCCCGCAAGGTGGTGACCATTCTTCGGATTTCTGCGTGAAGATTACAGAGTCGGTGTCAAAATACAGGACCCTTTCGCCAAGCTTCTCCAGGTACTCGTATAGTACCAGACGGGCATTGGCTGTGGTGTAGGCTGCCAGTACAACGTTTGTGGTTTTCAATGGCTCGACTGCTTCTTCGGGGAGGGTCCAGTTGACGATGAGGGTCTCGTCGTTTACGGGAATGATGGAGTTGACTTCCATGGACGGATCCGTGAGCATCTTGAAGAATTCTTCAGCCTCCGAGATGATGCTCGTCTTCGACAGATTGTCGCGCTGGCCAAACTTTCCCCAAAAGGAATTGAGGAATAGTTTGGCGATATAGCGGAGACCAGCGTTCACTTCAATCTTGCTCCGATCAAGTTGAATCCCCTCATGCTCCATGTAGTCGGCTAGATACTTCATACATGCCTCTTCGGAAAGACACCAGGATGGCCATCCACTGCATTCCTGTTTTGTTTTCAGGAAATTGTCCACATAACCGGAGAATAAACCGCCGGTTTTCGACTCACGGTTGTATTGGGTTGTCTCATACTCCCATACTTCGTGCAATTCCTGAACGACATAACCCAAGGAGATGGCTTTCCGTAGTTCGTCGGCTACGTAAGTGCCAGTGAAACGTCGGTCCTCATCATCATTGTGCTCACACTCTCCTTGATTCATTGTTTCGCAGCATGTACGGCATAGCGGGAACATAAGTTTACCATGGCATCTGTATGGTAGTACGGGATGATACAAGTTTTGCGGAGGAAGGACAGTGCACTTAACCATGCCCTCTATGGTGTTCAAGTTGCAGGAGTGAAGTTCTTCGGGCGTAACAAGTACTCGAGGATGGCCCAAAGGATACTTCCCATACTTGTTTACGTAGGGGTAGAGGGAACACACGTCCAAATTCCTGATTTCTTCCCCTTCTTCGGCCTTGTGGTATAGCTTGATGGCATTTGTCCCGACCTCCAAAGAAGCCATCGCGAGGATTCAGAGGCTCGTGTCTTAATACATTATGGCCATTCAGTAAAGCGTCGGTCTCTGGGTTGTTTGTTAAATATGTGCGGAATTCACACTCCCACATTTCAATTAAATTGTAGCCTGCAGTACGAATGCGTGATGAAGTGGCTTCGGTTTTTTCACGCCGCATTGCCATTGTGTCAGACTTGTTCCCTTTCAGTGGTGTCGTCTGGTCGGAGTAACATGACTCACAACCGTGAAAGTAGCAACCATGAAACTGGTACACGGTGTTCGTAGCTGCGGAGTATCCGTCGACAAGGATTCCCTCCTTTAGGCGAACTTCTCGAGAGTTGCCAGCGTGTTGAAGATCGGGAACATCAGTGGTTTGTAGATGAATCAGCCATTTGATGGCTGTCCGACTTTGATTATCGGCCATCCTGTTCCCTCCATGTGGAATGAGGCCGATCGTCTCCTCTTGAAGGAAGTTTCTCCGGAAGACCAGACTGCATGCAGAGGCAATAGTGCAACACTCGCGGAAGGGGTCCACCTTGTTCTCCTCGGAAAATTTCTGCCAGAACTCCACGCACGCCTGCCGTAAGATATTGACGTCTTGGACACAATATTTTACAATCTCCTCCTTAAAATTGAATATAGCGTTGCGGTTCACTTCTGCATTGTACCATTTGAAGAAATCGTCGCGATTTCTTTCAGACATTTCGTCGACTCCATAAAAATGTGGGGAGGGTAGTGGGCCAATGTAATTAGCATTTTCCAGAGTATTGAAGAAGTGTGGGAAGTGTCCTTTACACCCAGGGAAACTGAACGTTTTCGGTAGAGCACTTAATGGGACAGGCATAAAGTTCAAACTGTCAATGAACCTAATGTTGTTGTTACATGCCAGCGACGTAATCTTTGTACCCGTAGCGATAATGTCAGGATTCCATGCCGAAGGAGTTTTCATCATTTCCTTCAAGATGAAGATACTATCGTACCCTTTGCTGTTGTGAGCGATAGCCACGACGTCACGATTCTTACGAGCCAGGGAGGACACGAGTTTTAAAAGTTCATTCACGGGGTCTTCTTTGAATATATGTTCGCGGGGACCACAGTTATCACAAGGGACGTTGATGTCTGTATTATTTGTGATGCACGATTTGCAGAGCTGTTGAGCGACGCACAAGTTGGGAACGTGGACGTACGTGTTGGCGCGATTTTCGAATTGGTCGTCTTGTCGACACTCAAAGTCATAGAAAACAAACACAAAGTCTTTGTTCATCTTCTTTTTATCGGGGGTATTCTTCGCCATGTAGCACAAATGGCGTATTGGTCGGTCAGCTTGACATGTAACACATTTCTTGATACCGCACTTGTGTGGCTTTTTCTCCTTCCACACCGTAACCAAACACGTACGACATCGACGCACTTTCGCGCACAATTCCTGGTCTTTATGATGACGAAAGCACTCAAGGCCGCGGAAATCACGGTTACACACCTCGCACTTAATGTTCGGAGCATCCTTGTTGCACGGAGGACTAGTGTGACAACAGGGGCAAATGTACTTACAGTCTTTATGATGTTGTCGTTTACTCATGCGAACCCGACACAGCTCACAAAAGTACTCGCACGTGAACGCTGACGTTAAACTGGTGATTACGTTGTAGTGCTCGTTTTCCATTATCAGATTCAGTACTTGACGTTGTGGAGATCGTGGACCCTCAAAGTACACTGTTTTTCCCATACGGTGATTGTATACTACGATGGTGAAGTCGGTGAGATGATCCTGGAACTGACGTATGTGATCAATGGTACCGCCAGCCGATAAATCCACGCCAGCAGCTGCACATAGTTGAAGAGCCTTAGTCTTCTGAAGACTATGCCCGACTTTCAGGTAGGGTAGCTCTATGGAGTTGGTCCGGAAAGCTATGGCGGTTACGAGGGCTCGAGCGAGGCACAAAGTGTCATCGTTGTTGATGATGATGATTCCACGTTTTTGCCGTGAGAACTCCGCGAAGCTGACCCCGGTCATTCTTTGACGTCCTTTACCACTGGGTGGGGTAATCAGACTTACATCAACTCGTAGTGCATCGCTGGAGAAGAACGCCTTGTTACTCTGCATAACTTTATCCAGAGTCTTCAGCATAACGTCAGCATTCAGCTGATCTACACGACGGAACGAGAAACCAAGAGGATTGTCGGGGAACTCGCTATTTGTCAGCATCATACCAATACGGTCACTCCCACTATGCCTCTTAGTTACGTAATTGATAAGAGCTGTCAGTGATTTCTGAAACAGAAAACTTCAGTTAAGTTTAGTTTAATAAAATAGCTTTGTATGCATACCTTAAGCCATTCTAGAGGTGCTTCATTGGCTTCCGCATTATTAAACTTGATCATCAGTTGCTGGGCTGTCAAGTTGAATTTTTTTATGTACCGCTCACCCTCTGACAACACAGAGAAGCGATGAGGAACTCCACGACCAACTTGCGGTGGTGATGGTTGCAGACCAGAGGTCAATGTAACAGAGTTAAGCTGCAAAGAAGTTAACAATTAAAGTCATTGTTTTAGAATAATTAAAACAAAACTTACATTATTTACACAGGGCGCTACAGATGTGGCTGGTTGTAGTCCCGATGTTGATGGTTGAGGGTTAAGAATCTGTAAAGACGTTATCATTTAGAACTTGCGCACTTGAAAATTATTATTCAACTTACATTATTTACACACGGAGCAGCACGCTTTCGCTTAGGCTTTGCATGGGAAGACGAAACGGAAGGTCGGGGTGGATGCTGTAAGGAAATGTGCAATTAAAATATGAAACAACTTTTAAAATTAAAGTAAACTTACTTTCACACAGAGGTCGAGGGGCCGCGATTGGGGTTTGTAGGCGTCAGGGGAAGACGGTAGCGGTGGATGCTGTAATGAAATTTACAATTAAAATATGAAACAACTTTACAAAAATAAAATGAACTTACTTTTACAGTGAGATCAAGGGGCTGAGATTGCTCTCGTTGAAGATGATGGATAGTGGGTGACGGAACTTCATTCTGTACAAATAAACAACATTTAGAAAACGAAACTTTAAAAATTAAATAAACTTACTTTCACACAGAGGTCGAGGGGCTGCGACTGCGGATTGTTTGCTATAGCAGCAACGTGATGGGAATTCTACAAAGAAATTTATATTTAGAAATTTATAAGTGTACAAATATTAAAAACTTACCACATTTTGTTGAAGCAGGCGCGTTTGTATTGCCCCAACTGCTTCGCGAAGACGCCTGAAGCGTTCAATGTCTGCGGCGTCGGGAGTTACCTCCCCGGAAGTTACCATTCGGAGCATATAATAATATGCCTCCACCATATCGTCTTCCGACAGAAGACCACTCTCAAAAACACGACACAACAACTTGAAATGGGCGGCCATTGCAGAAATTTATGCACAAAAACTAAACACTCACAATAAAAACACGCAAAGCACGAGAAAACACGTACGTACAGATGTAAGAACGCAAGTAATTTCGAGTCACGAACATAAGCTTTTTTATATCAGGTCAGGTCAGGTAAAACAGAATCCGCCCCCTTCCGAACATTGCCGAACGTTCTATTGTTCGCCTAAAACCGGTTTTACGCTTGATTAAACACGATCTATTGTTTAAAATGCATGACTCATAACCCGCTAAACCTGTTTTCCACATGAATAACCATATCTTTTGTTTTGTGGCCGTCTTTATGGCACCACATCAATCATTTCTTTTGTTTCTACATCCGGTTACATGGGAAAGCACTTAGTTCACACTGGGCGTATAAGTGTTTTCTTTTTGTTCAGGACACCTGCACAAGTATGACTCATAACTCGCTAAACCTGTTTTCCGCATGAATAGCCACATCTTTTGTTCTGTGGGTGACTTTATGGCACCACATCAATCAATTTCTATTGTTCGCAATATGACTCATCGATTTGGTATTTTGATTTAATTCGCGAGGATGACGTATTAGATTTACAGTTACGCGCAGTTTATAAAAGCTACTGTGTGTGACGACTCGTTCTCATTTGTGTTCAGTTCAGTGTTCAACGTGATATTGTGTCAGTGTACTAGTTCAAAGTTACAAGTAAGTTCAATCGCCTCTGTTTTTTGATATAATTGGTAATTAAATTGTTGCAATTGTTTTCTAATTGGTAATTAAATTGTTGCAATTATTTTCTAATTTTACATTTCGTTACAGATTATGTTTTCGTACAGCAAACCTTATTCTCGTCCATCAACAAACCCCAGAGATCCTCGTACTGCTGAAAAGTTGTCGACGACACTCAATTACTACAAGCCTATTGCATCATCGCCAGAATTCTGCTACACAGAGGATGATCACCGAGCATTCGACAGGGATGTTATGAAGGAATACAACATCTCATCTTACAATAATCCAGTGCCCAGACACGAAGATTTCTGTTTATCAACACAAGACCGTAAGCGCATACATAACAAGTTTATGGATAAAGAACGACAGCAATTACTCAGTGAGTCGACATTTAATCTAAATAATAGTGGATCCAAAATCCTGAAAGTGGGTCTAGACGTATTTGAAGATTGCCCCTGTGTCAAGATACAAGGCAAGGATCGGAGCATATATTTTTCAAAGAGTGCCTTCGAGAGTTTTTTAAGCGAATTAGAAGACATCGTCGGAGCAGTAAAGCGCGAGGAAGAAGATGAAACTTTCGATCTAGAAGATTTTCATGTACGGTGCTGCAGAAAATATAAAGCTGCGCGTATCATTTCGAAGAAAGAAATCCACTGTGAACTGTACTTGGGACTCGTCACCCTGGAAAAAGTGATCGCTATGGCAGACTACTTACGTCAGAAGCTTAATTATTTGGGTAATTATTTGGAAGGTAATGATTGTCCTTTCAAAAACTTTGTAGAAAAAGTTGTGGACATTCTGGATAGACGTCAGCAAAAAGATGTGAGTTATAACGATTTGTTAGTAAATTTAACTGATGAACCTTTAGTTATACATGAGTTAGTCCATAAGTATCCGTATTTTGTGATTGATAAGATAGAGGATTATATGCAAACTTATGATGATAGGTTCTTGTACAAATAAATGTAAATAAATATAAATGTAAGTTCTACATTCTTTTAATCAGTTTGGTGTTATACTTCGAGACATTACAATGGAAAATAAATTTCTTCATCCATTTTCCGCTCTTGTAAGTGGCCCAAGCGGGTCGGGAAAGAGTTATTTTATTGTAAACTTTCTAAAAAATATAACAAACATCTGCTCTGTACTGTTTGAAAAAATAGTTTGGCATTACGGGGAATGGCAGTCATTGTACGAAGATCTAAAAGGTGTTGAATTCCATCAAGGCTTACCCGATATGTCCAGTTTCGATGGCTTAAAACCTGTACTGATAATTATTGATGATTTAATGCGTGAATCAAATGGAGCTATTGTTGACATTTTTTACAAAAGGATGTCATCATCGTAACCTCAGTGTTTTCTTTCTAACCCAAAACATATTTCATCAAGGAAAAGGACAGAGAGATATATCTTTAAATGCACACTACATTATTTTATTCAAAAATCCCCGAGATCGGGCACAAATAAAGCATTTAACGCGGCAAATTTGCCCTGAAAACTCCAAATTTTTAGAAGAAGCGTATAATGATGCAACGTCTAAACCCCACGGATATCTGTTATTCGATTTAAAACAAAGTACACCGGATGTTTTCCGCTATAGAACATCGATATTTGAAGAAGATGGCGCTTGTGTGGTATATATACCAAAAAAGGGTATTAAAGGTTTGAATCTTGAGCAATTGGTACATTCATAATGGTTTCAAAGTTGACGAAACATTCCGAGTTGCTTCGTGCTCTCTCAAAATTGGGACCAAAGGAGCGGTTAGCGTTGATAAAATGTTTGGACGACAATCAAATTGAATGCATATGTGAGTGTATTTACAACACTTTAAAAGGACAAGTCGATTTGACCGCTGATCAGAAGCGAAGTCTCGCTCGTCATAAAACCATCTTACGGCGTATGGTAACGCCCCGTGAAAAGATAAAAAAGAAGAAACAGATACTAATTCAAAACGGAGGTGCATTCTTGCCATTTGTGCTAGGTCCGTTACTTGGTGGCTTACTCGGAAGTCTTTTTCAATAATCATGGAACACGCAAAGAAAATGTTACTCGTACCGCAGGAAGTTATGCAGCGAATTAAATCAAGTGAAACAAGGAAAGAAGATGTTTTATCGCAAATTGACGACGAAATGTCCCAAGTATTAAATTCTACACAGTCTCCATATGAAAAGTGGCAACAATATTCTCAAGTTTTACAGAAATATTTACATTTTTCGGAACAAATGCGAAAACCTGTAAGCATAGCAATTGAATCGAAGCCTACAGGAATATCAGAAGATGAAATAATAGCTACAGTTCCACAAACTTTTAAGAAAAAAGCCGAAAATTTTCTACGAATACTCAATGCTTCGGGGGATATTTTATGGGACAATAGAGGAATTGTCACAATAAAAGGCGAAGTAATCCCGTCATCGAATATTATCGACTTAATACACGACACAATAAGACCGCGCCAATCAACGAATCCAGAGGGCGGTTTGAAGTTTGCAGAATTCGTCAAAGAAATTAATGTACCTCAAGAATTTATTGGTAGAAGACAAAGTGTTGTAAAATCCGAAGACATTATTTCGAAACGACCAAAAATTACCGTGAATCCCGATCAAGACGTTGCTGCGAAACGGACGAGAAGTGCACTTAAGCAACCGGATACGAGGAAGCGTTCCAAAAGTTCTGGTGGGCTACAGCGAGGTGGATGGAACACCGAAAACCCAAAAATTTCTAAACGATTGCATATTCCCGGTTGGAAAACTTTTAAACTTTAAGCCGATGGAAAACGTATATTATGACCCTTCACATCCTGCTGGATTTGCAGGAGTTTCATCTTTGACTTCAGCGTTAAAAAATAAATATTCGACCGAAGATGTAAAAGCATGGTTACAAAAACAAGAAGCATATACTGTACACAAACCCATTAAAAGAAAATTTCAACGCAACAAATACATAGTTAACAATATGTTTGAATTATGGCAGGCCGATCTTTGTGATATGAGAAGCCTAGCGAAAAACAACAGAGGCTATAATTACATACTAACCGTCATTGACGTATTCAGTAAGAAAGCATGGGCAAGACCTCTCAAGCAAAAAACCGCAAATTCTGTAATTGAAGCGTTTTCCTCAATTTTTAAAGAATGTGGCAATACACCTGAAAATATACAAACTGACAAAGGAAAAGAATTTGTTGCAGCAAGTGTACAACAATTGTTTAAGAAATACGCTATAAATTATTATGTAACTCATAATCCCGACGTAAAAGCGGCCATTGTCGAGCGACTAAATCGTACCTTAAAGTCAAAAATACACCGATACTTTACGTATAAAAACACATTCAAATATGTGAACGTTTTACAAGATTTGGTGTCTGCATATAACAAATCCTATCATTCATCAATCAAGATGGCGCCTAATGATGTGAACGAAGAAAATATCTTGAAAGTTTGGCAGAACCTCTACGCGAAGGGTTTTGGTAAAGAAACTCGACCCATATATAAAGTTGGACAACATGTGAGAATTGCCAGAAGCAAATATCATTTTGAGAAAGGATATGAGAGCAATTTTAGTCAAGAAGTATTTAAAATTATTAAAGTTATAAAAAGGCGTCCGCCTGTGTACAGAATAGTAGATTTAAACGGTGAAGATATAGAAGGAACTTTTTATGAAGAAGAACTGCAAGCTGTTACGATAGACGAAGATACAGTATATAAAATTGACAAAGTTTTGGAAGAAAAAGGAAGAGGAAAAAATAAAAAGTATTTAGTGAAGTGGCGAGGTTATAGTGACAAATTCAATTCTTGGATATCTGCGTCAGAACTACAAAACATATAAAATGGAAGAAGAATTCTACATTACACTGTTAAGCAATAGTTCGCTCGATTATTTTCCCAACAATACAACTTCACACTTTGTTACACAGTTGCCAAAGCGTATAAGATTAAGTGGTAATTGGGCCGTGGGGGTAGCCGAAATACAATATCCTTGTGCGTTTGCGTCAATCAGTGAAACTGACAATTTAATTTACTACAGAGAAGCGCCAATAAAAGATTTGCCGTTAAATAAAGTTTTAGAAAGTGCAGCGACATTTTTCCGTAATAATCTCGGAACCTCTATGTATAAAAACGGCGGTTGGTACGTGATCAAACTTGATGCTGGTAATTATGAAAACATTGAAGATATTCTTAAAGAAATAAACAATCACGAAAATTTAGGAAAGTTAATCACAATCAAATATTACAAGATCACAAAACGTGTGGCGATCGCCTTTAGGACACCTCTCTCCGTGCTGGGATTTTCCCAAAGGTTAGCTTTACAGCTTGGGTATCGTCCAGAACAGAATGTAGTACGCGATTCCATTCCCCCGCATCCTGCAAGTATTTGGTCAGGCGTGCCCTCACAGATGTTCATTTATTGTGA